TTTAACACAAGAGGTCACCATCATTCTTGTCTTTAAGATTTTAAATTGGTGATTGTAAGCATGTCATTGATTAGATAAAGCATTCAAAAAATTATCTTGAACTTCGTGACACACACCAAGCCTTCAAATTGAACACCTAATGGCCAAGAGTAATTGTGACCTCCTTATATTAAAGGTAAATTATCTCAAAGAAATAAAACGATTAACTGTAACCATCTTCTTGTCATTGAGTTCACACGTTAAATAACCACAACTACAAAACATGTCCAAATTGCATAATCCTAAAACATAAACTTACCCATAAAATATAAACTTGAGGATTCATCTATTTCCAAATATTACCTTCACAGACAATCCCTAACCATGCCTCAGAAAACGAAATATATACTCCAACTACTCAACCCTTTATGGCTTGTTTGTTGTAAAAAATATCACCATTTTGTCGTCAGCCAAGAGTCAGGGTGACGATGGTTGGGTCCGGCTGAAACCAGACCCAGACCTGAATGTATTCGGGTCCAAGTTTTTTACCCGGACTCGACCCCTCGGGTCAAAAGGTTGGACCTATACCCGTACCCGTTAGGTCCCAGGTCCATCCCATCAGGTCTTGGGTTTGGTCGGGTCCATTGCCACCCTCACTATGAGCTTCTTTTTTTGTAGCCTACAATGGTGAACAACAAAGAACTGATTTTTTTAAGGGTAGGCAATTAGAGAGAGAAAGAGACATTCAAGATCCAGAGATAGAGCTATGTCTCCAAAAAACTGAGAGGGAGAATTGCATAGAGGGAGGATGGCGATGAGGTTTGGTCATTTGAGGAACCAGGGGAAGAAGAAAGTATTTAAAGGATTTTAGGGTTGGGGCTATGGCCTTTGGGTAAACTAAAAATTTGGGTCCAAGTTACCGGCTGGGTCGGGTGTAGCAAAACCCATACCCGGACTCGTATCGAGTATCCCCGGCAGGTTGGGTTTGGGTCCGGCTCCATTGCCACCCCTAGCCAAGAGGAATTGAGGTGCTTTATATAAGGGCAAAGTTTATATAACGGCGAGGCTCCAAACAATCAATTTTTCGGGCGCACCTCAAAAATTCACTAAAAGAGGTTTTTTGAAGCCCAAAAATCCTCAAATTGATCATCTCGACCTAAGATGTATGAACATGAGAAAAAATGGATTTCAAGTCTTAGAAATAGTACATCTTGTAATCCATTTTCGGACAGTCAATTTTCAAGTGTTCATAAATACTTTTAAAGTTTTAAATTTATAATTAGAGATAAAAATAAATTTTCAGGCCATCACAAAGATTTTCAGTATTAAAACGGCATCTTTCAACACTATTTGAAGGTGTGCCTTACTTTGATTGTTTAGAGCTTTTGCCTTATACAAACCACCCCCTTATATAAGACGATGTTTAAACAAACTAATCAGTGAAGCGCATTGTCCGCCCCCAATTTCAATCTAGATTGGTGATCAAGATCATTCTCGAATCGTCTGGATCGATGACCTAAAAAATTTCAAAAAATAAATAAAATAAAATAAAAATAGAGGTTTACGGGGTGGATATTTAGATGGGGATCATAGAAAACATTAATTAAACTTAAAAAAATAAAGAAAGTACAAATGAAAAGGGGCTTTAGGGGAATTGGGCTAGGACCTATACCATTCTAGAGCTAGTTCGGTCCCGACTAATCCTACATTCAAATCGACGACACATCGAAATTGGCAAGTTTTAAATCACTGATGTAAGATTTTGCTATCAAGGTCCACAATTTTTCACGTGGGCTACATTGGAGATGAAAATGGGAGGGGTGGGTATGAGGCAACACATGAGTTATTAATGTCTTGCCTTCGATCGAGAGAGCCTTGTAACCAAGGCTTGCCATGAAGAGTCGTGGGGATGCTCCATCCTATGGAGGTTGTTAAATCATCGATGAGTTTCGACATTAACGGTTAAATCAATGATTTTTAGATTTTTCAAGTTAGCTAGTAAAAAGGGTGAGGACCTTAAACGTTTTTTTAACCCGTCCCATGCTCGGGTAAAGGAATTGGGTTGTACTAGGTAGGCAACCAATGCAAAATTTTGTCAAAACTTTTTTTTTTGGAGTTTTGTATATGCAAAGTTCAAGATTTTTTCTTGAAGTTTTGTATCTATTCAGTAAAACTCTTACATCCACCCATTTTGAAATTAATGGGACAAGAGTCATTGTCACCTTCTTATACAAAAAGTAAATGCTTTTCATTTTTAATATTTTCCACAAAGTTTAAAAAAATGGATAGGTGATCAGTACTACCCATTGTCTAGATTGATGGAAGTTGGTCTAAATCGACCGTGCAACAGAGCGAATCGGCTAGTAAAAAAATAAAAAAAAAGGAAAATTTCTCCATACCCCCTAGTTTTTTGAACCGATTTCCCAAGGGATCCAAGATTTTATAATATTTCTAACTACATGAAGACTCTATCTTTTGTATCGTCCAACCCCCTAGACTCCTTTGACTTTATATTTTTTACCTAAACAATTTTTTAAATGACAATTTTTTTATCAAAACCTAAAGTCATGTTATCCCCTCCCTCTCTCTCTCTCTCCACCAATCACACTTGGCTCTCTCGCTAGGATTAGAATCTCTCTCCCTTCCTCTCTCTCTCTTTAGGAATCACACGACTCTTTTTATCTCTAAAATCTCTCTTCCTCCTCTTTCTCTCTCTAGGATGAGTCTCTCCCTTCCAACACTAAGCACCTCTTTCTCTCTCTACCCAACAGCTAGCACTTTTTGTATGCACCACACCGCTACCCTACACAACCACTTTGCCTCTGCCCTACCATACACAAACCCTAGCCTTCCATCCACCACCGCTCCCTCCTTCCCCTCAGCTACCCTCTCCGATGCCCATGCCGGAAAACACCACTTCTTCACCAACAAAGTCACTGAAAAATCACCCTGCAAATTCCAGCGACATGAAATTATCTCCTAAAGTGTCATGTTGTAGTTGTAAACGTTGGCCTTTGAAGTAATGGGAAGACCACCTATCCACTCCGGTGCTAAATAGCCTATGGTTCCTCTTGTTGTGGTGGCCACTCAACTAAATTCTCGACCTAAAAGCTTCGCCATCCCTAAATCTTAGTCCGTTGCAGTAAAATCACGGTCCAAAAGGAGTTTAAAGAAAAAATAAATCAAATGAATGAGTAGCGAGCATATACTTGGTTCGGCAAGATGCCTACATCCACAGAAGAAGAAAGTCACTATAATGTTTTTCTTATCTCGATTACATGGGCTGCACCATATTTATTTACACAATGATACACCATATCGTAATCCCATAAAAGTAGCTCAACACTGTGAACTAACCGGGAGAAACTCCACAAAGATAGATGATTCTGTTTTTTAGCTGTAACCATCCATAAATATAGGGTCAATAAATATAGGGTCAACTTTCAACACTCCCGCTCAAGTTGGTGAGAATATGTCTATTGAGCCCAACTTGCTCAAAATTTGACGAAATTGCTTCTTTGCAAGAGCTTTGGTAAATATGTCTATGAGCTGATCACGAGTTCTAATGAATGGTATACAAATGATATTTGTTAAACCTTTTCTCGAACAAAATGACAATCAACATTTATGTGTTTAGTTCGTTCATAGTAGACAGGATCTGAGGCAATATGAATGGCTGCCTGATTGTCACAAAACATTTTTATTGGAAACCAAGTTTTCAACCCCATATCTTGAAGAAGATGTTTAAGCCAAATTAATTTGCTTGTTGTTAATGCCATGGCCCTGTATTCTGCCTCAGCACTTGATCGTGCCATAACATTCTGTTTTTGGTTTTTCTATGTGACAAGATTACCTCCAACAGTAGTACAATATCCTATGGTAGACCTTCTGTCGGAAGGACTACCTGCCCAATATGCATCAAAGTATCCCTCAATATCACATTTCCATTTGGCTTCATCCATATTCCTCTTCCAGGTGAAGCTTTGAGATACTTCAAAATCCTTTCAACTGCTTCCATATGACAAGTCAGCGAGGCTCGCAGAAATTGGCTGACAATATTAACCGCATATATAATATCAAGCCCTGTTATGGTTAGGTAAATAAGTTTCCCGACAAGCCTTTGATATTGACCAACATCTTGAACGGGTTTCTCATCAAAAGAATTTAATTTCTAACAGCTATCTACCAGCGAACAAATAGGTTTGACCCTTAATTTTTCAGTTTCTTTAAGTAAATCGAGAACGTATTTTCTTTGAGAAATGAAAAGTTATTTTTCGAGTAAGCCACTTCTATTCCAAGAAAATACTTTTATTGGCCAAGATCCTTAATGTCAAATTTATTATGAAGATGTGCCTTTAATTTTGAAATTCCCTCCTGATCATTTCCTGTAATGACAATGTCATCAATATAAATGAGAACAACGATAGTTCCCTTATTTTATTTACAAACATAGATGAATCGGCACTAGTTTTCTAAACACCCACATGAGTGAAAGCGTAGCTCAATTTGGCATACCATGCCCTGGGGGATTGTTTCAATCCATATAAAACCTTTTTTAATTTACACACTATTCCATTTTCTAGTTCCCTTGGATGCCCCGGAGGCAAATTCATGCAAACCTCTTCTTCGAGATCTCCATGGAGAAACGCATTTTTCACATCCATTTGAGATAATTTCCATCCAAGATTAGTAGCCACAGATAATAGGACACGAACCGTGTTTCATTTTTGCAACTAGAGCAAATGTCTCTTTATAATCAAGACCACAAGTTTGTGTAAATCTCTTGGCCACAAGTCTGGCCTTATATCGTTCAATAGTTCCATCACTTTTAAAATTAGTTTTGAAAAACCATTTGCAGCGAACAATTCTTTTACCTATAGGTAGTTTGACAATCTCCCATGTATGGTTTTTGTCAATAGCTCTAAGTTCGTCCTCCATGGCTCTCCTCCACACAGGCAGGGATTGGGCCTCAAAAAAAGAACTAGGTTCTGGACTACTAGTGATGGCACTTATAAAAGGAATATAATTAGGGGACACATTATTGTAACATTTGTATTCCTGAAAAGGATGAGAAACAACATGATAAGTGAAAAAATCCTTAAGATTAGATGGAAGATGAGTAACACGAGTGGATCGCCATAGAGGAATCGTAAGTTCATGAGACTGGGCCACGTGTTCTTCGTAAATCACTTCAGATCTGTCTTCAACTTGATGATTTTCACAATTTTCTTCAGCACTACCATTTTGAGGAGTTTCACTAATAATTTTTTGCTTGAAAATATCAGTATTAACAAGAAGTAGTGGTGAGATATTAGTACACTCCCCCTGAATCATATTTTCGAAAGATTCAGCAAAATTACTGTGAAAATAAGGCTCAGTTTCAGTAAAAACAACATCCCTTGACACATATAATTTCTTTTTCTTTGGACTGTATTGCATTTGTACCCCTTTTTAGTAAAAGAATACCTAAGAAAGATACATTTAGTGGCCCGTTTTTCAAGTTTGTCTCTATTTTGTTTATGAACATAACAGGTGCACCCAAAAACTTTCAAGTAATAAATATCAACATCATCAGACCAATAAACTTTTGGTATATTCATTTGGAACATGATGGATCTGGTCACCTCCAGTAAGTGCCTTTTTTTTTTTTGGCAATACCATTTTGTTGAAGAGTCCCTGTACAAGAGGTTTGGTGTATAATGCCACGAGGAGTGAGAAAATCCGAAAAATTATTATTAACTAATTTGATTCCATTGTCGGTATGAAGGATCTTGATTCTTGCATTAAATTGATTTGAAACCATATGATGGAATTCTTTGAAAGTAAGAAAAACTTTACTCTTCAATTTCAATAAATATATCCAAGTGGTCCAAGATTTATCCTCAATAAATGTGACAAAATACTTAAACCCATTATAATAAGTTGTCGGGGCAGGTCCCTAAACATCAGAATGTATCAAATGGAGGGGCCCATCAGAAAAACTTGTAGAACTTTGAAAAGGTAATCGAACTTGTTTTGAAAATTTGCATACATCACATGAACTTGAATCTGAATAAAGTCGAAATAGAATCTTTAAAATATTGTCTAAAGGATGGCCAATCCTAGAGTGCCATAAATTACCATCATTCAAATTTTGTCTAGATGTTAAGGCTTTATTCTGCAAATCAACTACATATAAGCCATGTGAAGTATGCCCCTCACCAATCATCTTCCCCGTGGCCCTGTCCTGAAATATCACAGATTGATGAAAGAATATGACGTTACAATCCAAATCATTGGTAATTTTGCTAACCGAAAGCAAGTTTGAAGGAAATAATGGTAAATAAAAAACAGCATGCTAGTTATCGAAAAGAAAATTGGTTTTTCCAATCCCCCATATAGGAATCTTCGCCCCATTGGCAATTGACACAGGTTGGCTATTCGTTATTTCTTTAAAGTTGGAAAGACATTCCAAACTCCCTGTCATATGGTCACTAGCCCCCGAGTCAATAATCCATGTGGATATTTTTCGAGGCAACAAGGCACAAGAGTTAACAAAAAAATTACCTGTTTCTTGAGAAGATTTATTACCCAATGGTGTTTCTTATATTGAAGTAAAGTCATTCTTTCCCAATGGTTAAAGAAGTTGTACTAATTGTTCTAGGCTAATTGAGAGTTAGAGATGCAGCTTGAGCAGAGGAACCTTTGTCCCGTGCCGGCCTAAGATGAGGATGTAAACCCTAGCACCTATCCTTGGTATGACCAGTATTTCCGCAATGATCACACCTCTTAGAGAATCTACCCCCATAGCCATGTCCTCTCCCCCTTCCAGGAGAAGCAAACCTTCTACTCGAATTACTTATACGTTTGGAGGATTCAAACTTGTTGGCAGTAAGGGCAGTTCTTTCAGAATTTTCAAGAGTCTCTTTATTTTCCAAAGTCATGACTTTCCTTCTAGTTTCTTCTTGACAGATTGATGCACAAACATACATAAATGAAGGAAGTTCTTTAGACATCAATATTTGACTTTTGATATTCTCATAATCCGGTTTCAACCCAACTAAAAATAAAAAAAATTTATCTTGCGCAATCCTTTGTTGAATTTCTTTTAGGTCGGTGGTAGCAGGTGAGTAAGTAGACAATTCATCCCAAAGTTTTTTGAATGAAGCAAGATACTCTGTAATAATTTTCTCTTCTTGCTTAATGCGAGGTATTTCTTGTTTCAATTCAAAAATACAGGGTAAATTATCTTGTTTCCCATATATTTCTTTTATGGATCTCCATAAATCTTCAGCATTCTCAGCATCAGTGAAGATTTCAGTCATATTGGGCTCAATGGAATTGAGTATCCAAGACATAACTTTTCTGTCTTCAGATATCCAATCGTCATAGGCCAAATGATCTTTAGATGGAGCCTTCTTTTTTCTTTCAACGTGACCTTGCTTAGATCTTCCATATAATGGGATAAGAGCGGCCTTAGACCAAGTTAAGTAGTTGCTTCCATTCAATAGAGTACTAGTGAGTTTGTCATTAATACTATACTCCTTTTCACAAATAACTGTTTTTTCTTTATCTCCCATCTTAAAACACAATATTAAAAAAAAAAACTTAACTGTAAATGATCACCAAAGCACCAAGAATCAACAACCAATGAGCTGCACACCCAAATAAAACTAGAGGAAAAAATCTGAGCACATATATTCGAGAAGTGCTCTGTTTCCAGCACTATTTTCCCAAGTAAATTTCTATTAAGAAATTTTGCACCGTTTAAAAAAAAAAACTCTTGGCAAGAGATAAAGATGCATGTGCACCAAAAGTTCTGCTCGAGCATAAATTTGCCCACCAATTTTGCACACAAGAATGAGAATAAATTTTGCTTCACACATTTTGCACACCAAAGATATAATGTAAACTTTAGAGAATGATGACTAGTTTTTTTTTTTTACAAGAGATAAATATGCAAGTGCACCACAAGCTCTTGAGCATAAATTTGCCCACCAATTTTGCATAAATTTGCCCACCAATTTTTCACATAAGATGAGAATAAATTGTGCTCCACATGTTTTGCACACCAAAGATGGTGCAAAAAGAATGATGTAAACTTTCCACCAATTTTTCACATAAGATGAGAATAAATTGTGCTCCACATGTTTTGCACACCAAAGATGGTGCAAAAAGAATGATGTAAACTTTAGATAAGGATGACTAGTTTTTTCTTTTACGATCAAGATGATCCACCAATTTTTGCTTTGAATATTCTTTGTGTAAAGAGAGAAACAACTATGGTAAAAATAACTTACTGGTTCAATAATGGAAGATGCTAGAACAAGTCTCTCTCAAATTTTATAGAGACTAGATCAACACTGACCCAAAGAACAGCCGTTAGTAGCTCTGAAATTGATCTGCTATGATACCATGAAGACAAAATAAATCAAATGAACTAGTAACGAGCATATACGTGTACATCCACGGAAGAAGAAAGTCACTATTATGTTTTTCAAATCTCCATTACATGGGTTGCACCATATTTATTTACACAATGATACACCATATCATAATCCCATAAAAGTAGCTCAACATAGTGAAGTAACCATGAGAGACTCCTCAAAAATAGATGATTCTGTTTTTTAGCTGTAACCACCCATAGAGATAGGGTCAACTTTCAACAGAATTTGATATCACAGTGAATTATTTAGTCTACGCCCTCTTCATGGAGATAGGCAATTCCCCTCACTGAACCTAAAGCTATTTTGAATCTAGTTACCTAGTGTAGTGTTTTGGTCGATTCTTGATTGAAATAAGATATTAATGGACCATTCGCCATGAAATCATAGGCAAGAGGGCGATTCAAGTTTTCAGAGCAAAAACCTCAAACCTCAAAGTCGAACTAGGTTAACGTGTTGCAGGGTTCTAATGGTGAGGATTTCATTGATGAACTCTTTCTCGCCTGAAACTCATGGTTTCTCTAAGCGACTTTGGAAGAATCGGGAAAAACACCCCTGAAAACCACACCAAAACCGCCATGGCCAAGCTTCTCTGAAAATACTCAAGTTGCATTATCGAATTCTTTGTACGAGAAAACCCTAAGACCAAAGGTTGAGATCTCAGCCATTCTTCTCCTTTTCGAGCGTCTCCTCTTCCAAATAATAGCTTGTAAAATAAAAGCTCCATTCAAAACTAAAGCTGGAGCACAGAGGCCTGTTATCAAAGCGGGATTGGTTTTAGAGCCGCTTTCATCACAAGTTGTAGAGAAATCCTGCGAGACCTCGACGGAGTTTAGAGAGCGAGACTGAATGCTTAAGACGACTTTAGGTTTTGATAAGAGGTGATCATTTCAAAAGTTTTTAAAAAAAATATATAAAATCAAAAAAATCAAAAATGTTGCCAGATAGAAAAGATAAAAACAAAATGCTATTAAAAATAGTATAAATTCTTGGGTCCATTTAGAAATGCTCTCAAAAAAATAAGAGACATGGAGAAATTTACCCTAAAAAATATATAATAAAAAATTTAAAAAATATTTAAAAAAAAGTTATATCCAGGACCTAATCCAAGTAACGCTTCGGTCAGAAAATCGGCTAAAACAAGGCGGTTTGTGATGGGAACATGGGAACCAGCTGGTTCATCATATTTGTAGGGAACTTTAGCAGGCAATCCGGATTGCCCTACGTTCAACGTTGGACTTAACATGAAATAAAAGAGAGGAAAACAACGCCACCAATGTGGACCCTCCTTTGACGTTCCCAAAGCTGTCCTTATATAAGCCGTACATGGTGGTCGATAAGACACCAATTTCGTCAAATTTTCCCGTGTCTCGTTCCGAGAGTAGAGAGAAAGAGAGTAATTTAGAGAGAGAGAGAGACAATATTTGATGAGGTTTTATACAAGGGTGCCGTTTTTGTATAGCCTACGACAGATCTATAAAAATTCAAAAATTTTAAAAATTAATGGTCCAAAATTGTGTTATAAAATACACAACTTTCATAACTTAAAATCCATTTTTTTTCTCTTGTTCATGTATCTTGATGTCAAGATTATCAATTTGAGGATATTTGGGTATCAAAACAACATCTTCTAATGAAATTTTTTAGATAGGCTCTGATTTCATTGTTTAGATTCTCAACTCTATAGAATCTTTTCCCTTTATACAATGACACCATTTAATATAGGAGAAAAAATTATATAGTCAAGCTCTAAACAATATAATTAGAGCCCACCTCAAAATTTTCATTAAATTGGTTGTTTTGATGCTCAAATATCCTCAAATTGATCATCTCGATATCAAGATGTATGAACATAAAAAGAAAATTGATTTCAAGTTCTGAAAATAGTGTATCTTGTAATGTATTTTTGGACCATCAATTTTTAAGATTTTCATAGATTTATTCAATCTATATTATTTATAAAACTTCAAATTTTATAATTAAATATCTATTTATAAATCTTTAAATTTTATAATTAAATATAAAAATAGATTTTAACGTCACAAAAATTTTCAGCATTAAAATCACATTTCTTAACCCTAATTGAAGGTACACTTTACTTTGACTGTTTAAAGCCACGGCTCTATACAAACGGCACCCATATGCAAGGAGATCCAGTGAAATTTGATATCTTGGATAGGTCTTAAAATTTAAAAAAATTTCTTTTAAACCTTAAGCTCAGCCATCAAAAATAATAAAGTCAACCAAAATCATATTTAATGATCTAGAGATACTTTCCCCATTTAATATAAGAGAGAGAAAGGGAGGAAGATGCTTGGAACAGGGACGATGACATGGGCGAAAACCAAATACGTAGTAGAGACGATGACACGTGAAACCGACCAATGTAAATTTAAGGGAAGTTTCTCTCACGCGTTGCCGGCCACCTTTGAAAGACCCGTCCCCAAAGCAACCACTCCCTTAACCCACCCAACAAATACCCCCCCCCCCCCCTCTTCCCACCTAACCCACAACCTCTCTCTCTCTCTTAAATCACTTTCTCTCTCTAGACACAAACCCATCTCGTATTTTCTCTTCCAAAGCAATCAAACACAAAGCTCTCTTTTCCTTCCATCTCTTCTCTCAAGATGAATCAGTACGATCAGCACCAAGCTCCTCCCCAATGTAATCCCCTCAACTCTTATTCTCTCTCTGTTTCTACATAATTTTTATTGGGTCTTTTCTGTTAGTTTCTCTCTATATATGCTCTGGTTTTCTCCTGGGTTTGTATTTTGCCCTTTTGGGGTATGGATGTATTTGCTTGTTTCCTTGCTCGTTTGGTGTTTAATTTTTCATATAGAATCGGGGGGTCTCATTTTTTGAATTTGGCTTAGCTTTTTGGGATCATATCCACTGCTTTTTTGCTCAAATTTAACTCTGATTTATTTATATTTTAATGTTTAATTGCCTGGTTCGTTGACCCTGAATTTTTTGCTTTTCTCTTGAAATTTGATTTCTTTTTTTCTTTCTGTGGGGTTGCGTAAATAATTAAATAAGATACAGAGATATATTTTTGATGAATGTTAACCGACCCCAAACAATTCGAGAAAAAGCTGTGAGGGTGATGATATTTTGACGAAGGTCCCCTTAAAAAAATTTATGAATATTAATCGACCTCAAAAAATTCGGAAAAACTATGATGATGAAGATATTTTGATGAATGTCCTGTAAAAAAATAGAGATGAATTATTGATGTTTATTACGGTTTGCAGCTTATCCCCGTCCTCCAGTGCAAGCCTACCCACCCCCTCCACCTGGGTATCCTGTCAAAGATGGTCCTTCCCAGCACCCACAAGTTCCCATAGAAACAAAACAGAAGGGTGATGGTTTTTGGAAAGGATGGTAAGTATTGGAATTCTCTCACTTTCATGGGTACATTACCGAATACGCTTTTGCTTTTTTTTTCTGAATAAAAGAAATTATAAAAACTATACTTTTATTTTCGCCTCATCGAAACCCTCATCTTTCATAACTCGCGTCCGTATTCTTTTTTTTTTTCTTTTTCTTTTGGTAATTTTTAATCAAAATAGCTTTCCCTTCACAGGCGCTACAAATCGAATTGTTGCGCCAATCACACGTCACGGGCGCTACAAATCGAATTGTTGCGCCAATCACACGCATTGCGTTGAGCTCGTGCAGTGCACATGTACACCAACTTCATTCGAAGGCTACTTAAATGGAACTTCATGTGCACATGCTTCGGAAAACGTAGGGCAAATCATACAATACACACAAGTGGCCTAATTGCAAGCAACAAAGCTGGCGTGGTTTGCTTATATTATTGTGAAGCCCTAGTATTACCATACTTGAAGTATAGTAATGACTATCCCTAATTTGTATATTGCATTTTAAAAATCGTGATTACTTAAAATGCTGAAAGAAAAAAAAAAAAAAAAACTTACAAAAGAGGTTTATGAAAGTTCGAATTTTTTTCTAATTTATCAAAAATTAAGTTATATTTTGACAATTTTCTTTTTTTTTAATCCAACATTTAAATCCTCTCAACCCCAAGCCAATGGGTCTCCACATGCATAGCACCCCCACTCCCCGCAAAATAACACACTCTCTCTCTAGGTTTCCAGAGTTTTCCACTAGAAGAATTGATGACCAGCCTAGCCCCTCTCTTTAAGCTGTAAAGCCTCTGTTGATTAATGCGGAAATAAAGTTAAGGCAGCTGTTTTAATAGAAAATGGAATTTTTTATATTGAAGTTCAATAGAAAAACTCAATAGACTACAATAAATGCCCTTTCTTATTGAAACTCATTGGATACAAGTAGTTGTCCTTACCCCCAAAAAAATAAAAAAAAAGATCAAGTGATTATAACGTCTTTAAGTGCCCTTTCTTATTTTATTCATGTTACATATATCAACATATTCACTACCATTATCATTGTCATCAATACAATCACATTATCATCAAGGCCATTCACCTTCTTAATCATAGCTTTGTCAAAGATAATGTATCATAATAATTCAAATTTTAATTAGATTTATTTTTTTTAATGTTATTATATTTTCCATTTCTCATTTTTTTATTTACTTTTTTTCCTTTTTCTTTTTTCTTGACAGCTGTGCTGCGTTGTGTTGCTGTTGCGTCCTGGATGCGTGCTTCTAGGGGAGGAGATTTGCGTGCTTATATTTATTTTCTTGGACTAGTTTATTGTCCCCTCTATCATTTGTTGGTTTGATTGTTCTGTTATTTAAGTTGGATTGTACTTATAGTGTCTTTATTTATGTTTGCTTGAACCCCAGTATCTATCTTTTTTATTAAATATAAAGTTAAACATTTTTTGTTCAAGATGAGATTGAGACACAATTTTTCGGTTTTTGAATATCTCGTCGATATTATTATCATCCAAGTCTTTATCTCAATTATTCGAGATCTTCTTATTGTTTATCATCGCAATGAATTGTCGATATTATTATCATCCAAGTTTTATCTCAATTATTCGAGGTCTTCTTATTGTTTATCATCGCAATGAATTGTCGATATTATTATCATCCAAGCTTTATCTCAATTATTCGAAGCCTTTTTATTGTTTATCATCGCAATGAATTGTTTACCGTAAAAGAATAACCAAATGAGCCTCCCCCAAAAGAAAAATTGATCAAAGAGGAAAGTCTTCTCACAAGTATCCATTAGTGTCCAACGTTGGATATATGGTGGGGTAGGACTTAGTGTCATGTCACATTCAGGGTCCCGCTCTGCCTTATCTCTTCCACCTATACTCCTGCAGGAGCAATCATGTCCATCTAATTCTTGGAAAAAGCTTATTTGGAAAAAAAAAAATTTAATCTAAAATTTTAGGAACTGCTAAAAAATAATTAAATCATTTTTAAAACACAAAATTTGAATTTGAAGTTTTTTAGTGCTTAGATCTCACTTTCGAAATTGGAGAGTCTAATCTTGGGATGTTAAACTTTTTTTAAGTTCTTAGATAGTTTGGAATTTCTCCTTTTTGAGCTTAATCTTGTGGGGGGGGGGGGGAACCCGAAGGAGTAAATGGATAGTGGGATCCCCCATGACTATAAAAGCCTTTGGCTTTTATTTGACCAATATAGGCAATTAGGTGCTCGATGTTCTTGTCCAACTCGTCCATGGCGGCCGGCATACGTGGGCCTAGAAAACCTAGAAAACCCACGATCACATGACTTTTGATTTTTTAATAGGATGGGGTTTATATGGAGCTGAGGCTTTAAACAGTCCAAGTTAAACGTATCTTTAAATAGTATCAAAAAATGTGGTTTCAATACTGAAAAATCTTTGTGATAGGTTTAAAATATATTTTTATTTTTAATTATTAAATTTAAAGTTTAAAAAATAGTGTAAATCGAGCGGATATATGAAAGCTTGAAAATCTTGAATATTGACAGTCTAATTGTACTATTTTCAAAACTTAAAATCTATTTTTTTTCTCGTGTCTATACATCTTGATGTGGACATGATCATTTAAGGATATTTGGACATCCAAACAATCTCTTTTAGTGAAAGTTTTGAGATGGACTCTAATTTAAGGAAAATGGTTTGGTAGGGCTGCAGCCCTTCTACAATACCTAGGGCTACAGCTTGCATGCCGTCTATCAATTTGGAAGGTTCACATCTTTTACACAGGTGAATGCGAGAAACTCGGGCACCCAAAACCCTAGTTACCACTAC